TTTGTGGTAACTCAGACAAGGGGCTGTGGCCATAATCCGTATCACGGGTTTCCTTGAAGACAGGACGCTGGGCTGCCACACTCCCAGAGAAGCTGGTTTTGTCTATCCACACGTTCACATGTGGCTGCTTCACCAAAGTGATCCTGGGGCCTGCTTCACACATTACACAAGGCACCTGGGTTTGGTGCAGAGTATATCGGCGATTCCGCATTGGCTTTCCCCTCCTTTGTTTTAGCAAACCCAGGTTGGAGCAGAGATTCCCCTCCGCACTGTGTGTCACTTTCACTTCCTTTGATCATTGGGTTTTATGGCACTTTCTGCATAGATTTATGCAGGGCTATTTTTGGGGCAAGAACGCACAGGAACGGAGTTCCGGCTGGCTCCCCAGTTGGCCACGCCCAGCAGGAACTCATTAGGATTGGCTACATTAGGGGTGTGTGGCCTAACATGCAAAGGAGTTCCTGCTACCAAAAAAAAAGCCCTGGGTTTGGACAACAAACAAGGTAAACAGAATAAGAAGCGAAAGGTGGGTGTGGCTGGATGACCACACTAATGGTAACATGGGGGTGCGGCCTAATGAGCTGTGCTGTCAGGGGTGTGGCCCAATATGCTAATGAGTTCCTGCTGTTGGGTGTGGCCTATTATGCTAATGAGTTCCTGCTGGGCTTTTTCTACAAAAAGAGCCCTGGACTCATTTATGGCTGTTCAGGGGTGACTTCACTGCGTTGCCCCGGGATATTTCAATGTGGTTTTGAGCTGCCCCTTTTCCTCGGTGTTGACCAAATTTGGAGCGAATGCTTGGTGCAGAATCACCCTATATCTGGCTGGTAGCTATAGCCAATCCCACTTCTCTAACAAATGTACCTAACCAATACATATGTTTGCCCCCCATGGGCTTTATATTTTGAGTTGGATGCTTAATAGTATGTGAGACGAAAGATGTAGCGGTTCTATAGCAGCTTCCACAGTGCCCTGCGAATTAAAAGGCTGAAGCTGCGGTCCAGCCAGATGAGTCTTGCGCATGCAGCAGAAGCAGCCTCAGTCTTTACTCTTTTGGGTACCGTAGGGTTGCAGGTGCACCTGCTGACTGTGGGTGTGCCATGCAGACTCGGAATTTTGGATCGTGACCAAGGTGTTTCCAAGAGAGGATTGTGTTGTCAACATCCTTCTCATTCTAGGCCTAAGAATAAGCACTTGGTCTGTGTCTGCATAAATGCCTGCTGTGTATCTGGCATAAAAATAGAACACTCCTGGTTATAATTATATTGCTTCTCCCCTACAGCACTGAACAACTTGAAGCCATTAAAAAAAACACAAAAACCTACCCAGCAGATGGCAGTAAGACCCAGCCGTGTTTCACTCTAATGGTTTTAATAAAAAAAAGGCTTAGACAGATACAGCAATATCCAAACAAAAATATATTTTTAAACAAAAGATTGCAGTTAATACTAATAGGTGGGGAAGTGATCTAAGTGGTAGAAGGGCTCAGGAGAAAGTGGGTAGGGCACGTGGTGTAAAGCAAGACTCAACTCCAGCTTGCGTGGAAAATAGCCGTCTCTCCATCAATGCTCCCTCTAAGCAGTGTTGTGAGCAAAAAATTCTACTTTGTGAGCGACTGGCATTAAAGTTGTGAGCGAGCCATTTGGCTACTGCATAAATTAGTTTGCTCTGGAGCCCTCCTTCCTGAGCGAAGACAAAAGTCTGTGAGCCGGAGGCTAAAAAACTGTGAGCTAGCTCACACTAACTCAGCTTAGAGGGGACACTGCTTACAACACGAGCCCCAGACTTCCACCTGCCCCCCAAAAAAACTGACGGGCAGGAACACTGAGGCAGGGGGGAAAGGGCCGATGGCCTGAAGGAGTGCTTCCCACCCTGTGGGTCATGAATCTCTGCAAGTGGGTCACAGGCCAGACCTCCCTAAGGGCCACCTCCCTTTCTATTGCTTTCTTTTGCATCTTGCAAACGAAGATCTGACCCTGGAAACGGCATCTTCCATGTTAGACATTAGTTGGTGGGGTTTTTCTTCTTCACTGCATATACGTGTTGATTGAGTAAAATGTGTACTGATGGTCACGAGAGGGAGTGAGTTGGCTGTGGCTCAGTGGAAGAGCCTCTGCTTGGCTTGCAGGAGGTGCCAGGTTCAATCCCCGGCATCCCCAGTTAAAAGGATCAGGTAGCAGGTGATGTGAAAGACCTCAGCCTGAGACCCTGGAGAGCGGCTGCCAGTCTGAGTAGACAATTCTGACCTTGGTGGCCCTCAGGTCTGATTCGAAGTAAGGGAGCTACATTCAACGGAGGGGTCATGGCTCAGGGGCAGAGCATCTGCTTGGCATGCAGAAGGTCCCAGGATCTCCATTTTAAAAGGACCAGGCAGTAGGCATCGTGAAAGACCTCCACCTGAGACCCTGGAGAGCGGTTGCCAGTTTGAGTAGACAATACTGACCTTGATAGACTAATGGTCTAATTCAATTGAAGATGGTTCCATGTGCCTGTGCCTGTGACCCTTCATTGGTAAGGCTGACATGAGGCTGTGGTTCAGCGGAAGAGCCTCTGCTTGGCACGCAGAAGGTCCCAGGTTCAATCCCTGGTATCTCCAGTTAAAAGACCTGGCAGTAGGTGATGGGAAAGACCTCCACCTGAGACCCTGGAGAGTGGTTGCCAGTTTGAGTAGACAATACTGACCTTGATAGGCTAATGGTCTAATTCAATAGAAGATGGTTCCATGTGCCTGTGACCCTTCATTGGTAAGGCTGATATGAGGCTGTGGTTCAGCGGAACAGCCTCTGCTTGGCATGCAGAAGGTCCCAGGTTCAATCCCCGGTATTTCCAGTTGAAAGACCTGGCAGTAGGTGATGGGAAAGACCTCTGCCCGAGACCCTGGAGTCTGCCAGTCTGAGTAGACAAGACTGACTTTGACCCTGGGTCTGGTTCAGTATAAGGCAGTTTCATGTGTTCATGTATGTTCAAGAGGATCAGAGGGAGTAATGAAGTAGGAGAGCGGTGGTCAAAGGCTGGAATGTAACCTCCATATGAAGAGGCTGTGTATTTTGGAATGCCACTCTCTTGGGGTTCATTGTTGGGGCAGCAGCACCCCTTGTGTGATGTCTGTTGGTTGCTCAAAAGCATCTGGTGGGCCACTGTAGAAAATGGAGTCCTGAACTTAGATGGGTGCCAAGGTCATCGTTTGTCCCGGGCCCCAATCACCCTGGGCCAGCCTGGATGGCTCACCATGCCAAGTAGATTTGGACTGATGGGTCACCGTACTGAAAAAGTTGGGATCTTCTGGCCCAAAGGATGGTTCGGTTGTTTCACTAGAACATCAGCATGTCCTTCAGTTGGTGGGGGAAGGTCTGAGAATAGGAGAGGAGGAAGGTCTGAGCAGGCAAACTCCCTGGCTGGCTCCAGTGTGGGTTAGTGAGTGGCAGTCAAACACCTGCTCAGGACAGAGGCAGAATATTGACTTCAGCAACTGACAGGGAAAGGGGCCCTTTGGTGGAGGAGAATGGGGAGGGTCAGGGCTATTTTTGGGCAGGAACGCCCAGCAGAAACTCATTAGGATTGGCTACATTAGGGTGTGTGTGGCCTAACATGCAAAGGAGTTCCTGATACAAAAAAACCCCTGGGTTTTGACAACAAGGTAAACAGAATAAGAAGCAAAAGGTGGGTGTGGCTGGATGACCACACTTCTGGTAACATGGGGGTGTGGCCTAATATCCTAATGTGCTGTGCTGTCAGGGGTGTGGCCTATTATGCTAATGAGTGTCTGCTGTTGGTTGTGGCCTATTATGCTAATGAGTTCTTGCTGGGCTTTTTCTACAAAAAAAGCCCTGGGGAGGGTTAAGCTCTCAGCCTTTGGATTACCTATGTCAACATAGCCAAATTATGTATCCATGGGTGTCTTGAATACTGCAAAGAATACCCCCTTCCCCTCTTTTGTGCAACAACCACAAGATCTAGCGTCTTACCTCTGGGCTCCGGGCTTCATTCAGACCTCATGATAAACCACCCTAGAGAGGTCAAGCCTTAGTTGTGATGCTGTCCAAGGTTTGTTGGATGGCACTGCTGAGATTTAAAGTTAGGGTTTGTAGCCAGTTTGGGCATCGCCATTTGTATCAGTTGTGGTTTGTTATGTTGCCTGAATTCAGAGTTTTGTCGCAGAGCTCCGTTCCTTGTGGGTGTCAAGCCAGAGAGACGGCCCTATAGAGCGGATTGCTTTTCTTGCAGGGCGGGGGACGGGAAGCCAAGGGCAGGCCAACGGGAGTTCCCCCCCCAAACTGAGATTCATGACTTAGGTTTGATATGGTATAAAAACAACAGTTGAAACAATTGGCAGTTTATGGCAACTCCTGAATACAGCCCAAGCGCCATGTTGTTGTTTTTTAAAAATCAGTGCTTTAAAAAAAGGCCTCTGGTACTTTCAAAGAAATCTCTACATTCTGCCCTATGCAATGGAGACCTGGAATGTAAATTGACTTCTTTCTGCAGAACTATGGCAATCCTCTGCTGCTCCTTCCGTCCACTAACAGCATTTTTGCAATATGCTTTCGTAGCTGACACCCCCCCCTCCCCCGGCTGTGCAAATTTCAGAACCTCTCAGGCTGGGGCAAGGGATGTATTCTTGGTGCTTGGGGGGGGGGGCAACAGTGGGAGGGCTTCTAGTGTCCTGGCCCCACTGCTGGACCTCCTGAGGGCACCTGGTATTTTTGGCCACTCTGTGACAGAGTGTTGGACTAGATGAGCCATTGGCCTGATCCACCATTGGCTCCTCTTATGTTCTTATGTAACCCAAGATGGCAAGCTGGACGGAGGGCTCCTGTCCCACAAGGTCATCACCTGCTGGGGGGGAGGGAGCAGCAGCAGCTTTGATTCCTGATGCTAAAGAGTCTCTCCTTGGGGAAATCTCAGGACACACAGTGAGCTTGGCTTGGGGCTTGCTGCCTCGGCGCTTGGCACGGCGGTGGCTGTTCTTGCAAAAAGCAAGTCTTCCGGAAGATCCCGGTCTATTTCAGAACTAAGTGATAGCCTTCTGAATTGTGCACTGCAATGAGACACGGGAGGGAAACCGTCACTAGCGAAGGGGCCGTGAGCGGGGGTTTCTGCGGCACGGAGCAACTGGCCCCCCCCCCCCCCCCCGGAATTCTATCCCCCCGAGGACTGATCTGGCATCTTAGGAAGTCCATGTGCCGCCCGTGCGGAGACTCCAAAGATGTGTTCTGGGAGAGGACTTAATTCTCAGGAGTGTGCAGGCCACCTGTGACTAAGGGCTACAGGTAAGTTTCCCCAACAAGGGAAACTGCCTGGAGCCCTTGCCCTAGGAAGTCCGCCTTGCCCTCACCTCTATTTGTAATAATCTCTTTCCCACTTCTCATTTTATGGAGTGACAAACTCCAAAGGGGCGCACACATTTAAAGAAGAAAAAGAGATTGGATTGATACCCCACCCTTCACTTGGAGTCTCAGAGCGGCTTACAGACTCCTTCCCCTCCCCACAACAGACACACTGTGAGGCAGGTGGGGCTGAGAGAACTCTGACAGAAACGGCTCTTTTTCAAGGACAGCTCTGCCAGAACTATGGCTTGCACAAGGTCATCCAGCCAGGTGCAAGTGGAGGAGTGGGGAATCACACCCGGTTCTCCCAGATTAGAGTCCCCGCACTTAACCACTACACCAAACTGGCTCATTAGCCTGCTGCAGTGTCTGGTAGTCCCTCAAGAGACTTGATGCATTTCTTACGATCTTAAGCTTCCATGACCTAGAGAGCACCTGGGGATGCCAGCCTCCAGGTGGGACCTGGGGATCCCCCGGGATTACAAATTTCCAGACTTCAGAGATCAGTTCTCCTGGAGAAAATGGCTGCTTTGGAGGGTGGACTCTGTGGCATTGTGCCCCACTGTGGTCCCTGGCCTCCCCAGGCTCCACCCCCAAAGCTGCAGGACTTTCCCAACCTGGATCTGGCAACCCTGCCCCCCCATCCCCCCACCAGTAGCCATGAGGGACCGGGCAACCCTAACTGTTGGATGCATAAAGTCAGGGCTATTTTTGGGCAGGAACGCACAGGAACGGAGTTCCGGCTGGCTCCTGAGTCGGCCACACCCAGCAGGAACTCATTAGCATAATAGGCCACACCCAACAGCAGGAACTCATTAGGATTGGCTACATTAGGGGTGTGTGGCCTAACATGCAAAGGAGTTCCTGCTACAAAAAAGGCCCTGGGTTTTGACAACAAACAAGGTAAACAGAATAAGAAGCGAAAGGTGGGTGTGGCTGGATGACCACACTTCTGGTAACATGCAGGTGCGGCCTAATGTGCCAATGAGCTGTGCTGTCAGGGGTGTGGCCTAATAGGCGAATGAGTTTCTGCTGTTGGGTGTGACCTATTATGCTAATGAGTTCCTGCTGGGCTTTTTCTACAAAAAAAACCCCCTGCATAAAGTGTTATCCTCAGCCGGCAAACAGGCGGTGACATTTCTCTGTCCGAAGCCCAAGACAAGCAGTGACCTATCTGCAAAAGCAGTTTGGGTCTCACTGCAAGAAGTGGACCCCAGCCCCCCCTCCCGGTTTAAACTGTGCCTCTTCAAACCCCCCGACTTATTTCCCCCGGGGGAGCTTATGCTTACCTTTGGTTACAGCTGCTATAAAGCATGACTCATCAGGGAGGTTCCTGACCATCTGTGAACATCGAACAAGAGAGCAAAGGCAAGGTCAGTGCCTCATTAAGAGTTTGGCCTGGAATTGCCAAACTTAAAAAAAAAAAAGATCCAAGAGACCTTGGTGGCAGATGGCAACGATGTCTAAAAGAGATTTTAGACGGGTGATAAAACCCACTGGCATTGTGGGTAGAACAGGTGTCAACGGCTGGTATGAAGCACATGTTTATTTGAACAAACCAAGTTAGATTTTGTGGATGGATTCATGTGGGCACCAATGCTCCCTCTAAGCTGCAAAGCCTTGTGAGCAAAAATTCCACTTTGTGAGCGACTGGTATTAATGTTGTGAGTGAGCGATTTGGCTGCTGCATAAATTAGTTTGCTCTGGAGCCCTCCTTCCCGAGTGAAAAGTACGCAAACGAGAGTGATTTCAGCAAAGCATACTTTATTCTATCTGGAACAAGACAACTTTGGCCGGCTCGCAGGCTGGCTTATATCCCCTGAGAAACCACCACCCCAAACACACCCCTACTTCCCTATAGGTTATTTACAGTGGCCGAGAGTCCCATAGGCTCTTGGCCGGGAACCTAGCCCCCTGATTGGAGCGGGCTAGGATCCGCATAGTCCACTGTCGCTTGGAGCGAAGCTCGACGTTTGTCTCTGGACTTGTCTGGACTGGATACATTACACCGAGCCAAGGCAAAAATGTGTGAGCCGGAGGCTAAACAACTGTGAGCTCGCTCACACTAACTCAGCTTAGAGGGAACACTGGTGGGCAGCCGTGTTGGTCTGAAGCAACAGAACAGAGTTTGACTCCAGGGGGAAGCAACGGGGACCCAGCTGCCTTTGGGAAATCGCCCCCGGTCCCTCCAGGTGAATTCCAGCTGAGTAACGCAGAGCTTTCTCGCCCTTTATGCCGTAGCCCGGCTCCATCAGAATATACCACAATCACACACCATGTGAAGAGGGCACATCTCAGAATCCCTAAATAAATCATCGCCGAATGTACAGGTGCCCTGACCTGGATAGCCCAGGCTAGCCCGATATTGTCAGATCTCAGAAGCTAAGCAGGGTCGGCCTTGGCTAGTATTTGGGTGGGAGACCGCCCAGGAAGTCCAGGGTCGCTCCACAGAGGCAGGCCAGGGCAAAACCACCTCTGAATGTCTGTTGCCTTGGAGACCCTACTGGGGTTGCCATAAGTCAGATGTCACTTGGTGGCAAAAACAAACGGACAAACAAAAAAACGGTGCAGGACTGAGGAGCCCTGGAGGTCACTAGTGTATGTCTCTCAGTCAGGGGTCATTTCCCGCAGGAGCGCACAGGAGCGGAGTTCTGGCAGTAAGGAGCCCAGGGGGCGGGCACACGCAACAAGCCCCACCCCCAGCAGCCCTCAGTCGGGCCACGAGGAGCAGCCAGTACAAGCTCTCCCTCCTCTGTGAGAACAGATCTGCACGTTCCCTCCCCCCCCAATAGCTAGCAATCCAAAACAGTCCAGTGGAGCCTGAGAGGTGGGCATTGCCTTCTGACACACTTCCAGTGATGCCAGGGGGTGCGGCATATGCAAATAAGTTATGCTAATGAGCTCCTGCACCTCTTTTTCTACAAAATGACCCCCAGGGTGTCACTGGGGGTATGAAGCTCCCCCCCCCTTTTTTTAAGAAGAGGAGATTGGATTTATACGCCACCCTTCACTACCCAAAGGAGTCTCAGAGCGGCTTACAAAACTCCCTTCCCCTCCCCATAACAGACACCCTGTGATGGAGGTGGGGCTGAGAGAGCTCTCTCGAGAACTGCCCTTGAGAGAATAGCTCTAAAAGAACTTACTTATGACTGACCCAAGGTCATCCAGCAGCTGCATGTGGAGGAGTGGGGAATCAAACCCAGTTCTCCCAGATCGGAGTCCGTGCTCCTAACCACTACACCAAACTGGCTTTTTACGCTTGTGATGCATCAGTAGGCTTGGCAAAGTATATCTAAGTGGTGACAGACACTTTGAAGGAGCCCGGGAGGGAGAGGAGTTCCCCATCCTCAAATCCGGGTTTCTCCATACCTGGTCACTGATGAGGATGTGGATTCCTGCGGGTCCCTGTCTGGAAACCTGCTGGATTTGATTGGCTGGGAGGCTGAGGAGTTCGGCCAGCTTATTGGTCAGTTCCGTGGCAGTGAGTTCTTCCAAATACAATTCCTGGTAAATGGCTTTCGGGCATGGAAAAAGAGAAAGGGGAGGGGGGGGGATGCACCTTTAGAAAGGATACTGAAATCTGTGCATATTTTAAAAGTCGAGCCAAATTAGGGTTGCCAATCTCCAGGCAGTGGCTGGAGATCTCCTGGAGTTACAGCGCCAAGTGATAGAGATACGTTCACTTGGAGAAAATGGTCGCTTTGGAAGTCGGACTCTGGCCATTACACCCCACGGAAGACTCTCCTCTCCCCCCTCAGGTTCCACCCCCAAAATCTCCAGGTATTTCCCAGCCTGAGGGGGTGACCCTCACCCAGGTGCATAGACCCATCTTCCCCTGCCAAACCCCTCCTCCCCCCACACCAAGTTTCTGTCCCTGCCCAAAGGCCATGAGCCGCCTCTCCCGCAGGACTTTGGCAAACGGATATTCCACCATGCGTTTGATGAAGAAGAGGGGAAGGAGGAGGAGATTGGGTTTATACCCCGCCCTTCACTACCGGAAGGCGTCTCAGAGCAGCTCACAATCTCCCTTCCCTTCCCCTCCCCACGAAAAACACCCGGTGAGGTAGGCAGGGCTGAGAGAGCTCTTTCGAGGACTGCTCCTGAGAGAACAGCTCTGAGAGAACTGGTGATTGACCCGAGGTCACCCAGCTGGTTGCATGTGAAGGAGTGGGGAATCGATCCTGGCTCTTGCAGATCAGAGTCCACCGCTCTAGTCCGCGCTCTTCACCAGTACACCAAACTGCCGTCACTGGACTTACCCCCACAACAGACACCCGGTGAGGTAGAGAGCTCTTTCGAGAACTGCTCCTGAGAGAACAGCTCTGAGAGAACTGGTGATTGACCCGAGGTCACCCAGCTGGACTTACCGGGCACAGGGGTACTGGGGCTGTCATCCCCACTCGTCTCTGTCTCTCTGGATATGTAGAGGATGAGCCGAGGACGCACGTTCCTAGGGGACAGAGGGGAAACTGAGTGGTGGTCTGCCACCTAAGGCCAGGTGTGCTGCAGCGGCTAAAAGCATCAGCTGGGATGTTCCAGAGCTGTCCTCACTGGGGTGGGGGGGGGCGGCGCTTAGGCCAGGTATCCTCTCAGCACCAGCAACACTGCATGCAGCTTGGGGGGGGGGCATAATATTCACTCCCCTTTGCAGGACTGTTGTGGGGATTACTCAGATAAAGCAAAATGCCTTTGGATGCTCGAAAAAGGGCCGTTTGCATGCTGAGTATCGATATCAGCATTTTCATTTTATTTTATTCATGTCATTTATAGTCCGCCCTTCTCATGGGGAGTCACGGAGGATTATGCACAGAGTGAGTCAGCACAGTCAGCAAAATGGGACAGACCAAAGTAGTAACAAAAAAAAACCCTGTGCAGGAGTTTGTGCTAATACATTTGAAATATTAACCAGAAAGATTTCATACAAAAAAGTGTACAATATTTGCATAATATATCAAATGCAAGTGAAGATAGTGATCTCCGGAACATTCTGCCGTTTCGACACAAGGCTTCTTCTGAACAATGATGTATACATGTGGTGTCCCTCCATTTCATTTCAACTGATTCATCATCAACAATTTCATGGATCTCTCAGGATCAACTTCATCCGCCCTTGGAAAGGCTTTTCTAGAAACTGTTTCTACAATGAATTAGACAATCCTGCTCCCAGCAGCCCTCAGTCGGGCCACGAGGAGCAAGAAGCAGCCAGGTAAGTTGCAGAAGCCCCACCCCCCCCCCCCCCGGCCTGCCTTCAGGTACAAGATCTGCACATCCCCCCATCCCCCAATAGCTAGCAATCCAAAGCAGTCCAGTGGAGCCTGAGCAGTGGGTGTTGCCTTCTGACACACTCCCGGTGACGTCAGGGGGTGTGGCATATGCAAATGAGTTATGCTAACGAGCTCCTGCACCTCTTTTTCTACGAAATGACCCCTGTTTGTATGTGATAGTCAATGTCTCAAACTGAGCCCAGTGACAAATGGGTAGCCTAGCCAACAATGCTCCCTCTAAGCTGTGGAGTCTCGTGAGCAAAAAAACCCCTACTTTGTGACCTGCTGGCGTTAAAGTTGTGAGGGAGTGATTTGGCGGCTGCATAAATCAGTTTGCTCTGGAGCCATCCTTCCCAAGCTAAAAAACTGTGATCTAGCTCACACTAACTCAGCTTAGAGGGAACACTGGACTAGCCAATGAAGTGCCTGCAGAAAGGGAGTAATATGGATGCTCTGATAATAGCCGAGCCACGGCATGTTGCACCTGTTGGAGCTTCCAAGCGGATGCTGAGGGGAGACCTATGCAGGGGTCATTTCGTAGAAAAAGAGGTGCAGGAGCTCATTAGCATAACTCATTAGCATATGCCACACCCCCTGACATCACCAGAAGTGTGTCAGAAGGCAACACCCACTGCTCAGGCTCCACTGGACTGTTCTGGATTGCTAGCTATTGGGGGGGAGGGAATGTGCAGATCTGTCCTCGCAGAGGAGGGAGAGCTTATACCTGAATAAAACTTGGTCTTAAAGGTGCCACTGGACTGTTTTGTGTGTGGGGCGGGTGTGCAGAGGGGGTGGGGCTCTGCAGTTTACCTGGCTGCTTCTTGCTCTGACTGAGGGCTGCTGGGAGCAGGGGGTGGGGCTTGTTGCATGTGCCCGCCCCCTGGGCTCTTTACTGCCGGAGCTCCGCTCCTGTGCGCTCCTGCAGGAAATGACCCCTGGACCTATGTACAGTGCATTACAGTAGTCTAGTCGCAATCAATGTTCCCTCTAAGCTGTGGAGTCCTGTGAGCAAAAATTCTACTTTGTGAGCTACTGGCATTAGTGAGTGAGCGATTTGGCTACTGCATAAATCAGTCTGCTCTGGAGCCATCCTTCCTGAGCTGAAACAAAAATGTGTGAGCCGGAGGCTAAAGAACTGTGAGCTAGCTCACACTAACTCAGCTTAGAGGGAACACTGGTCGCAATGTTACTGTGGTGTGGATCCAGGTGGCCAGGTCAGCCGTATCAAGGTCCGGGGCCATCTTACAGGCTAGGCTGAGTTGGTAGAAGGCAGGTTTGGTTTTGTTTTTTTGCAGCTGCATTAAATTGCTTCTCCAATAATAAGGTTGGATCCAAGGCTTTTACCACCTGAGCCAGCTGAACTCCCTCAAAAGTGGGGAGCCCAGTGTCTTTCAAGGCCTCCCCCTTCCCACCCGGCATGACGTCTGTCTTTTCAGGGTTTAGTCTCAATTTGCTCACTTTTAGCCATGTTAATCACAGCAGCCAGACTACTATTTAGGGCCCTTAGCGCATCAACAGGAGATTTGGATAAGGATATACAGAGCTGGGTATCACCAGCATGTTGATGACACCCAACCATGCTTAATTTCTAGCGCCAGGTGCAGGACACACGTGGCACAGATGTCCTCCTTTCTAATCCCAGACAAGTGGCAACAAACCGTGGGTTTTTTTTAAAAAATCAGGAAAAGAAACTCTGTGTATGCTCAAAGGTACACTATATCAGAAGAACCCTGCTGGATCAGACCAGTGAGGGTCCATCGAGTCCAGCCTCCTGTCTCACCCAGTGGCCAACCAGTTCCTCTGGAGGGCCAACATCAGGGTAGAGAGGCTAAGGCCTGTCTCTGATAAGAACATGAGAAGAGTCCTGCTGGTTCAGACCAGTGAGGGTCCATCTAGTCCAGCATCCCATCTCACCCAGTGGCCAACCAGTTCCTCTGGAGGGCCAACAACAGGGCACAGAGGCCAAGGCCTTCTCCTGAGGTTTCCTCCTGCCTCTGGGATTCAAAGGATTAGTGCCTCTGAATGTGGCAGTTCCCTTCGGCCACCATGGCTAGAAGCCATTGAGAGACTTCTCCTCCATGAATCTATTGAATCCCTTTTCAAAGCTGTTTATTCCTGTGGCCATCACCACATCTTCTGGCAGCGAATTCCACATATGTATCACCTCTTTCCAAGCCTGAATTGTTATGAAGGACCACGCTTAGCTATTAATATTGTTAGCTATTGACACTGGAGAGCGCACAGCTCTTAGAGCAGGAGGACATTAGAAGGGGAGGGTGATCGATCTACCATTGAGGGGCAACTGACAGACGATTGATATAAAAGCAGAGAGGCTGAGGGGCTCCAGGATATCTTGCCAGAAAGCCTCCGTCTCATGTGGGTGGGTCTGCAAGTGGGTTGATTACTCAGTAGGGAAGGGCAGCCCACATGAGGTGGAGCTGGCTCCATCCCCTTTAACCCTTTAAGGGGGGTGGCCAAACTGTAGCTCAGGAGCCACATGTGGCTCTTTCATACATATTCTGTGGCTCGCGGCAGGGCGGCTGGGGCAGTGAAGGGGAAGTGTGCCTCCCCAATCGGTCTTCCCTTCCCCAACCAGTGTTTCCCTCCCTAGATAGGCTTGAGGTGTGTGTGGGGGGGAGCAGAGAACGAAAGCAACTTTAACTTTAAATGTGGTCTTAAAGCCCCCGCCCCCCTGCACTGGCTGGCTTGGAGAAGGCATTTGTCTCTTTAAATCCCTTCTCCAAGCCAAGCCGGGTTGGAGAACACATTTAAAGTTGCTTTCTTTCCACCTCTGTCTTCCTCTCTGCTTTCTTTCCACATCTTTCTTTTCACCTTCCTTCCTCCCCATCTTTGCTTTCTGTTTCTTTCTCTCTCTTTCCCCCTCCCCTCCCCCATCTATTTGCTATCTTTCCACCTTCCTTTCTCCCTCCCTCCCTCCACCACTCCCTCTCTCCATTTACTTTATCTCTCTCTCTTTCTCTCTCTCTTTTTCTTTCTTTCCGCCTCTCTTTTTCTTTCTCTTGTATAAATAAATATAATTAGAAAACAAATAAATATTATTGGACAAATAAATATCATTATCTGTTTTACCCCTTTTGTTTTTATTTTTGGCAGTCTCATTTAATGTTGATAAAAAGCAAATTTGCATATTTTCAATAAAATGTGTATGTAATATTTGTGCATGTCTTGCGGCTCTCAGACATCTGATGTTTATTCTATGTGGCTCTTACAATAAGCAAGTTTGGCCACCCCCTGCTTTAAGGTGTTCTTTTCACACCTGATCCATGGTGAAATTATGCCATGTGACTCAGCTGGGAAGCGGGAAAGGGATGGGGGTCGCTGGGGTTGGCACAGTTGATGTTGCATCTTGTTTCCTTCCTGAAAATGTCATCTTCCCGGGATTTTAAAAAAATCAAGTCACAAGTGCACCTCCACTCTGAGTTCCATACCTGGCTTTTAGAGCGTTGGAAAGTCGGATGCCATCTGCGGTTCCACAGATCTGTATGAGGTCACTGCGGGAGAGCTTTAACAAGTCGGCGCCTGCGGGGAGAAACAGCCGTTTGAAGGGCAAAATCATCCTTACTCAGACTTTATGCTGAAGTTGTGAAATTCGTGGAATGTCCTTCTGGGGGACAGCAGCAGGCGTGAAACAAGCCTGCTGAGCAGACGCATTTCAATTTTGATGCCTTGGCTTTATCTGCTGGGGTAAGGGAGTCCCAGTAGTCATGTATGGCTGCGGCTCTTGAGAGTCCCTTGGACTGCAAGGAGATCAAATCAGTCAATCCTAAAAGAAATCAACCCTGACTGTTCCCTGGAAGGCCAGATAATGAAACTGAAGCTCAAATACTTTGGCCACCCAATGAGAAGGGAGCACTCACTGGAGAAGACCCTGATGCTGGGAAAGATTGAAGGTCAGAGAAGACGGGGACGGCAAAGGATGAGATGGTTAGACAGTGTCACAGATGCAACGAACATGAAATTGAGCCAACTTCAGAGGACGGTGGAAGACAGGAAGGCCTGGCGTGATCTGGTCCGTGGGGTCGCGAAGAGTTGGACTTGACTGTGCGACTTAACAACAACAATGGGAGTCCCTCTCCACACACACACACGATTTAGAGTTTATTTTTCAAATTTGATCAGGAAAATAAAATCTAAATCAGTTTATTAATCTTCTTTTTCACAATCAGGCTGGAGGCCAGAATCAAAAGGGTTGAGGGACGCTGAATCACACCTGGACCTGCTCAGCCTTTACGTCTTCCCCAGAAACATAAGATTCAAGTTTGGCTAAAAGTGGCTACAGCATCTGTAAAAGTGGAGGTACCACACAACTTCCTTTCACAGGAGGGAGTGACAGCCAATGTGAGGTAGTCGTTAGAGCCCTGGACTAGGGCCCGGCAGACCCAAGGTCAAATCCCCACTCAGCCGTGGACTCACACTGGGCAACCTTGTGTCAACTACGCATGCACTCACTGTCAGCCCAGCCTGCATAAGAACACGAGAGAAGCCATGTTGGATCAGGCCAAAGGCCCATCCAGTCCAGCACTCTGTGTCACACAGTGGCTAAAACCCAGGTTCCGTCAGGAGGTCCACCAGTGGGGCCAGAACTCCAGAAGCCCTCCCACTGTTGCCCCCCAACCACCAAAAATATAGAGCATCACTGCCCCAGACATAAGAACATAAGAGAAGCTATGTTGGGTCAGGCCAACAGCCCATCCAGTCCAACACTCTGTGTCACACAGTGGCCAAAACTCAGGGCCCATCAGGAGGTCCAGCAGTGGGGTCAGAACTCCAGAAGCCCTCCCAGTGTTGCCCCCCAAGCACCAAGAATACAGAGCATACCCTGCCCCAGACAGATTGTTCCATCTTTAAGAACATAAAAGAAGCCATTTTGGATCAGGTCAATGGTTCATCCGGTCTAACACTCTGTGTCCCACAGTGGCCAAAACCCAAGTGCCATCAGGAGGTCCACCATAGGGGCCAGAACTCCAGAAGCCCTCCCACTGTTGCTCCCCCACAAGCACCAAGAATACAGAGCATCACTGCCCCGGACAGAGTGTTCCTTCTATACCTCGTAGCTAATAGCCCCTGATGGACCTCTGCCCCAGATGTTTATCACAAGGCTGTTCTGGGGACAAAACAGGGAACCATGGACGATACTGCTGTTGACCTTCTTGTAGGAAGGACAAGATTAAAAAATGGATAAACTGTCTGCCAAAGAGGCAGAGCTAGTTCTGGTCAACTGCTGCTTCCTCAGGGCCTTATCCAACAAGGAGAGCCTAGGGTTCATCTGGCTCATGGCTGTATTTACAACCTCAAGCACCTGGCCTGTTTTGCCAACATAGAATGGCTCACAGGGGCGGGTAGAACATTTGCTTGGCACACAGATGATCAGAGGTCTGAAGCAAAGCATCTTTAGAGAAAGGATGTCAGGTGGTGGGGATTGGGAAAGATCTTTCTCCAGCCAAGACCCTAGACAGGCATTGCTACTCAGACTAGGCAGTACTTAAGCTAGATGGACCAGTGATTTATGTAGTTCTAAGAGAATTTCGTAATTTCAAAATGATTCAAATAAGTGATTTATGTAGTTCTAAGAGAATTTCATAATTTCAAAATGATTCAATAAGTTTGAAAAAAGGTAAAGGTTCCCTTGCTCGAAAGCCAGTCGAATCCGACTCTAGGGTTGCGGTGCTCATCTCCGTTTCAAAGCCGAAGAGCCAGCGCTGTCCGAAGACGTTTCCGTGGTCATGTGGCCGGCATGACTAAACACCAAGGTGCACGGAACGCTGTTACCTTCCCGCCGAAGTGGTACCTATTTATCTACTTGCAGTTTCTTGCTTTCAAACTGCTATGTTGGCAGGGGCTGGGGCCAGAGATGGGAGCTCACTCTATCATGCGGCACCTGGGTCTCGAACTGCTGAACTACTGCCCTTCCACAGCCTGCAGTTCAGCGTGTTAACCACTTGAGCCACCGCAGCTCCTTAAGTTTGAAAACAAGCAAGTAAAACATTAAAATAGCTAACAATCAGGGTGTCAAATATAAAACCCAGATACAGTTGTTGTTTGTATTAAAGCACCGAGTTTCTCTTTGGACTCTTCCGCATTCTCATTTCCCTTGCTTCTGTGCCGCTATCGCTTGGGGAAGAGGGGGTCACATAAATGAAGAAAATTATAATGCAGAAGATTCTCTTGTACCTCATTTTCCTGTTGTTGTTGTGTGTGTTTTTAACAAAGTCCTGATGGAGCTACAGGGGTGAGAGTGGGCAGATACATATATTTTGATGGATGAAGTCAAATCCTTTCAAAATTATTTCCAGTTCAGCTTCACTAACTTTAAATGTGGTTCATTAACCCCTTCACCTTCTCTGAACCAGTTCCAAACTGTATTTCATGCAACCTGATGTCAAACAGCAGTGAAACTCTTAAAGTATGTGGAATTGGTGCACGAAAACAGCTTTAAACAATATAATTCTTTTCAGGTGAAACACTTAACATGGTATTCCTTTTATAAGCTTTGCTATAATTAAGTGCCTCTTGTGTTCGAATGAGATCATAATCTGAACCAGCCAGGGATTTCTGATTAAAATCTTAGACCAGTCCATTCTAGGTATGCTGTAATCTGTACCCAAGTAGAAAACACCACTTCTTTATATATTATTTATTTAAAGTGTTTAGCTCTTTCCCAGCATAGGCTCCAGATGGTTTATAATCAATCAATTATTTAGTTAGCATGACTTATCCACATCCGAACATCAGTGATAGTCAACATTCAACTAAAATCTTCAAATGTGGTCATTACTCTGTTGCCTGAATGTCTTGTTTAGTGTTCAAGAAGGTAAGAAGGAAGGGGGAAAGGGAACAGAGAGCAACTCAGCAGATACATAACTGACAGGGAGTTTTCCCAGTCATCAGAGTTGCACACAGATCTTGCCACCACTGAGGATTGTGCTGCCTTTCCAAAGTGTTGTTTACACCAATCACATTGTGGGATTACTGGCTAAGGAGGGCTTTGATGTGATTCTGTATAATCAATGGCTCCTGTTTCTTCCTGTTCACTTTTCACGAGTGCTGCACAAATGGTATGCTTTCACAGGGGCTCTTAATCGATTTACATCCACTCACATCTAATGAAAGTAGGGGACAGGGTTTATTTTTAAACTAAAACAGAACATGCAGTGAGGGGAACTGAACTCTGCAAACGAATTAATTCTACAACGTATTAATTGTGATTTTAATTAATTAATTGGTTGCAAATTAATTGTGATTTATCCCCTGCCTTATCTCCCCAATGGGGAGTTCTCCCTTAGAACTATGTGAACCACTGGTCCACCTAGCTTAAGTACTGCCTACCCTGGCTAGAGAAAGAACAGGAATTCGGGCTGAGGTTGTGTTTGACTCCAAGCTTGTGAGGCCATCAGGGCATGTTTGCAAATTACCAACTGGCTGATCTTGGTTTTCTTTTTTTCTTCTTAGATTTCAGAGTTTAAAAAACACTTCCACCCTGACCTGGATAGCCCGGGCAAGCCTTATCTCAGCAGATCTCGGAAGCTAAGTAGGGCCAACCCTGGCAAGTTCTTGGAGACCTCCAGGGAATACCAGGGCTCTGGTCACAGAGACAGGCTATCAAGCCAACTTCCTGTAAAATGTCCAAGCCCCCAGTAGAGGGCGCCATAAGTCACCATGACTTCCAGGCATGTGCACACACACACACAGAGGGAGGCACATGCATGCGCACACACACACACAAATACTCCCCCCCCCCGAAAAAACACTTCCCATCTTCTGCAAGCACCCAAGAAATACCATGCAGGTAACAAAAGTACTAGCTCCCGTCTCTGGCCCCAGCTCCTGCCAACCTAGCAGTTTGAAAGCAAGAAATTGCAAGTAGATAAATAGGTACCACTTCGGTGGGAAGGTCACAGCGTTCCGTGCACCTTGGTGTTTAGTCATGCCAGCCACATGACCACGGAAACGTCTTCGGACAGCGCTGGCTCTTCGGCTTTGAAACGAAGATGAGCACCGCAACCCTAGAGTCGGATTCGACTGGCTTTCGAGCAAGGGAACCTTTACCTTTACCTTTAAGAAAAGTAAACAGCCCCTCTGGTGTAGTGCTTAGAGTGTCGGATTAGGGTCTGAGAGACACAGGCTTGAGTCCCTACTCTGCTAAGGAAGCTCAGTGGGTGACCTTGGGCCAGTCGCACACTCTCAGCCTACTCTACCTCACAGGGCTGTTGTGAGGGCAAATGGAGGAGAGATGAATGACGTAAGCCATTCTGGGCATCATCGAGAGGGAAATAGAAGGTATACATTTCAATCAATTTGCAGTTAGTTAATTAATTACAATTAATTACAATCACAATTAATTCATTTGTACTATCAAAAAAGGGAAGATTGCAAACAACTTTTAATCTGATAGATCCTGGAGATACATGGGACTAATAGCTTAAAGAACAATTCTTAGAAAGCTAATTAATTCGGATTCAGAGGGGTGTAGTAGTTAAGGGCAGGGCTATTTTTGGGCAGGAACGCACAGGAATGGAGTTCCGGCTGGCTCCCAAAGTTGGCCACGCCCAGCAGGAACTCATTAGCATAATAGGCCACACCCAACAGCAGGAACTCATTAGGATTGGCTACATTAGGGGTGTGTGGCCTAACATGCAAAGGAGTTCCTGCTACAAAAAAGCCCTGGGTTTGGACAACAAACAAGGTAAACAGAATAACAAGCAAAAGGTGGGTGTGGCTGGATGAGCACACTTCTGGTAACATGGGGGTGCGGCCTAATGTGGTAATGAGCTGTGCTGTCAGGGGTGTGGCCCAATATGCTAATGAGTTCCTGCTGTTGGGTGTGGCCTAATATGCTAATGAGTTCCTGCTGGGCTTTTTCTACAAAAAGAGCCCTGGAGGGTTTCAGACTAGTTTCAGGGAGACCCAGGTTCGAATCCCCACTTATGCCATGGAAGCCTTGGGCCTGCCACACACTCTCAGCCTAACCTACCTCACAGGGTTGCTGGGGGGATTAAATGGACAAGAGAAGAGAAGAAGAGACTGGATTTATACCCCCACCCTTCACTACCCAAAGGAGTCTCAGAGCGGCTTACAATCTCCATTCCTTTCCCCTCCCCACAACAGACACCTTGTGAGGTGGGTGGGGCTGAGAGAGCTCTTCCCGAGAACTGCCCTTGAGAGAACAGCTCTGAGAGAACTTGCGACTGACCCAAGGTCACCCAGCAGCTGCATGCGGAGGAGCGGGGAATCAAACCCGGTTCTCCCAGATGAGAGTCCGTGCTCCTAACCACTCCCCAAACTGGAGAATGATGTAAGCCACGTTGGGGAGAAAGGCAAGGTATAAATGAATAATGAACAAACAAATAAATGAAACGAAGTAAAGAAACTGATTGCAAACAGCCCTTCCCTGGAAGAGGGGAAGCCTCACCCGTGTAGCTGGCGAAAACCCGGAAGTAACTGGAGAACCTGTTCTTGTGCAGCCACTGCTGGGTTTCCAAGATGGAGGCGCTTGGGCTCAGGGCCTGGAAGGAACAGACAGACGGTGTCATTGGCTTCCGTCACGGCCTCGGGGCTCTGGGGATCCAGCCTGCCTGAGGAGCCACCCCCGAGCAGGCCCTGTCCCCTGTATCCCTGCCACACTGACTCACAGCGGGGTGTCTGTGCGTGTTCTCGCTGGTCTACAGAATGGCCTTTGATTTTTTCCAGACCTGGATCCTGCCAGGGTTGCCAACCTCCTCCTGGTGGCGACTGGAGTTCTCCTGGAATTACACCCGGTCCCTAGACTGCAGAGATCAGGTCCTACAGCAAAGGGCCGCTTCCGAGGGTGGACGCCATGCAATCGCGTTCCTGCTGCCTTCCCTCCCCTCCACAAAACCCACCCTCTCCAGGCATGATCTCGACATCTGCACGCATTTCCCACGCCATGCAAACCCCATAGTACAAGAGGTGGAGACCGAGTGCACAGATCAGCCTGAGTAGTCTGGGACAGAAGCTGGGAACAT